ATCTCTTTAACATTGTACTTGAAGTCCTAGCCAGAGCAATAAGACAACTAAAGGAGATCAAGGGGATACAAATCGGAAAGGAAGAGGTCAAAGTGTCACTATTTGCAGATGATATGATAGTATACATGAGCGAACCCAAAGATTCAACCAGAGAACTTCTTCAGCTGATAAACACCTTCAGCAAAGTGGCAGGATACAAAATCAACTCAAAAAAATCAGAAGCCCTCTTGTATACCAAAGACAAAAAGGCCGAGAAAGAAATTAGGGAAACAACACCCTTCACAATAGCCACTAATAACATAAAGTACCTTGGTGTGACTCTAACCAAGCAAGTGAAAGACCTGTTTGAGAAAAACTTCAAGTCTTTGAAGAAAGAAATTGAAGAAGATCTCAGAAGATGGAAAGATCTCCCGTGCTCATGGATTGGTAGGATTAACATTGTGAAAATGGCCATCCTGCCAAAAGCAATTTACAGATTCAATGCAATTCCCATCAAAATACCAACTCAATTCTTTACAGACCTTGAAAAAAAGATTCTCAGCTTCATATGGAGAAACAAAAAACCCAGAATCTCCAAAACAATTCTGTACAACAACAGATCATCTGGAGGTATCTCCATTCCCGATCTCAAGCTGTACTACAGGGCAACAGTAATAAAAACTGCATGGTATTGGCATAGAAACAGAAAGGAGGATCAATGGAATCGCATAGAAGACCCAGAAATAAACCCACACACCTATGAATACTCAATATTTGACAAAGAAGCCAAATCCATTCAATGGAAAAAAGACAGCATCTTCAACAAATGGTGCTGGACCAACTGGATGTCTACATGCAGAAAAATGAAAATAGACCCATATTTATCACCCTGCACAAAACTAAAGTCCAAGTGGATCAAGGACCTCAACATAAAACCAGATACTCTACATCAGCTGGAAAAAAAAGTGGGAAACAGCCTAGAACTCATTGGCACAGGAGAGAACTTCCTGAACAGAACACCAACAGCACAGGCTCTAAGAGCAACAATCAATAAATGGGACCTCATGAAACTGAAAAGCTTCTGTAAAGCAAAAGACACTGTCATCAAAACAAATAGACAGCCTACAGATTGGGAAAGAATCTTCACCAACCCTTTATCTGACAGAGGGCTAATATCAAGTATATATAAAGAACTAAAGAAGCAGAAAAGCAACAAACCAAGTAATCCACTTAAAAAATGGGGAACAGAGCTAAACAGAGAATTCTCGAAAGAGGAACATCGAATGGCAGAGAAACACTTAAAGAAATGCTCAACCTCATTAGCCATTAGGGAAATGCAAATCAAAACGACCCTGAGATTTCACCTTACACCCATCAGAATGGCCAAGATGAAAAACTCAAGTGATAGCACATGCTGGAGAGGTTGTGGAGAAAAGGGAACCCTCCTCCATTGCTGGTGGGAATGTAAACTGGTTCAACCACTCTGGAAGTCAATCTGGCGCTTTCTCAGACAACTAGGAGTAGTGCTACCTCAAGACCCAGCTATACCACTCCTAGGTATATACCCAAAATTTGCTCAAGTACACAACAAGGACATTTGTTCAACCATGTTCGTAGCAGCTTTATTTGTAATAGCCAGAACTTGGAAACAACCCAGATGTCCATCAACGGAGGAATGGATACAGAAATTGTGGTATTTTTACACAATGGAATACTACTCAGCAATCAAAAAGGAGGAAATCATGAAATTTGCAGGCAAGTGGTGGGATCTAGAAAAGATCATTCTGAGTGAAGTATCCCAGAAGGAGAAAGACAAACTTGGTATATACTCGCTTATATAGACCTACAAGACATGATAAACATAATGAAATCTACACACCTAAAGAAGATAATCAAGAAAGTGGACACAGGCGAAGGTGATTAATCCTCATTTAGAAAGACAAATGGGATGTGCCTTGAACTTATGACAGGAGTCTACCACAAAAGGCATCTGAAAGACTCTACCTAGCAGTGTTTCAAAGCAGACACTAAGACTCATAACCAAACCCTCGGCAGAGTGCAGGGAATCATATGAAAGAAGGGAAGTTAGTATGATATGGAAAGGATAGGAGCTCTACAAGGACCAAATATATCTGGGCACAGGGTCTTTTCTGAGACTGAAACTCAACCAAGGACCATCTATGGATATAACCTAGAACTTCTGCTCGGATGTGGCCTGTGGTAGCTCAGTAACCAAGTAGTTTTCCAAAGTAAGGGGGACACGGACTATTTCTAACAGGATCTCAAGGGCAGGCTGTTTGACACCTCCCCCCAGGGGAGGAGCAGTCTGTTAGGCCACAGAGGAGGACTTTTCAGCCAGCCCTGAAGATACCTGATAAAACAGGGACAGATGAAATGGGAGGAGGTCCTCCCCTATCAGGGGACTTGGAAAGGGGCAGGGAGGAGACCAGGGAGGGAGTGTGGGGTTGGGGAGGGAATGAGGGAGCGGGATACAGCTGGGACACGGAGTTAAGAAAATGTAACTAAAAAGAAAAAATAAAATAAAAAAAAAAAAAAAAAAAAAAAAAAAAAAAAAAAAAAAACAGTATTCTTCCAATTCAATAATATACGGTGGGGTTCCTTTTTCTTGAGTGTGTTTACTATTTTTATTAGTTTTTTTGTTTGTTTGTTTGTTTCTGTTTATTTTTTAGATAGGGTCTCACTATAAAGCTCTGGCTGTTCTGGAACTTATGTAGACCAGGCTGTTCTGGAATTCTACCTGTCTCTGCCTCTTTAGTATTGGGATTAAAGGCATGAGTCACCACACCTGCTATTTGACATTCTAAATAAAATTTATCCCTAAGCAATGTATAGTCCTGTGCCATCACACCTAATTTATGCAGTGCTGACGATCAAACCTAGGGCCTTGTGAACACTAGGCAAGCACTTTTCCAACAGAGCCACATCTCCAGACCCCCTAGGCTATTTGTTTATTTATTTAATTATTTGTTTGTTTGGAAAATAAATTTATTTCTTAGAAAGTTTGGTGCACAAAATGATAATTTTGGATGCTTCAATTTTTCTGAATTAATTTATTAGTTTTAACAGTCTAGTGGAGTCCTTAGGTCTTTCTATGTATAGATCATATCATCTGCAAACAGAGACAAATTAACTTCTTTTTCTGTTCACAGACTTTTATTTCTTTCTCTTCCTAATTATAGTCCAGTACTAAGAGTGGCTAAAGGGGATGCTATTATTTTTTTTCCAGATCTTAGGAGAAATACTGGCAGATTTCCCCCTTCACTTTGGCATTCATTGGCTGTGGACTTGTGTTATATGGATTTTATGATGACACATGGGTTTTTAGTTTTTTAAATTCGTTTTATGTGCTTTGTGTTTTGTCTGCATGTACATCTGTGTGAGAGTGTCAGATCCCCTGAACAGGAGTTACAGACAGCTGTTGGCTGCCATGTAGGTACTTGGAATTGAACATACGTCCTCTGGAAGAACAGCCAATGCTCTTAACCGCTGAACCATCTCCCCAGCCCCAACACACATTCTTTCTACAGTTAAATTTGTTCAAAGTTTCTGTCACAAAAGGATATTGAAATTTTATTTTCTGTTTTTTTTTTTTAAGACAGGTTTTCATCACATTGCCCAGGCTTTTTTAGCTGGAATTACAGGCATGCACACCTGGCTGGAATGATATCGTTGATATGTTGTTGGAATCATTGCTAGTTTTTTCTTTTTCTTTTTAAAGTTTTACATTTTTGTTTCATTAGTGATCTCTGTCTAGACTTTTCCTTTCATTTCCTTTTTTTTTCCCTTCTCCTTTTTTTTCTTTCTATTTTTAAGTTAAAAAAAAAAGAAAAGTTTACTTTTGCTCACAGTTCTGGTGTAAGCCAGTTGGAAGGACTGCAGTAGGTGATGGTCTTTTGTTAGCACTCTCAAGGTAGCACAAGAGTAGCATGGGCGACGAGAGCTGTGTGTGTGTGTGTGTGTGTGTGTGCAAGGACATATTTTATGTCCTTGTCTGATTTTGGTATAAGAAAATGCTGGCCTAGAAGAGTTTGGACTCCCCCCCCCCCATGCTTTTCAATTTAAAATTTAAAATTTTTTAATTTTAAAAGACGGTTTGTGAAGAATTGGTGTCTTTTGAAGTCCTCTGGTCCTGAGTTTCTCTCTTTAGGTGGCTTTTCCTTACTTGCTATTGGTTTACTGTGATTTTCTGTGTCGTTACTGTTTATTTTCTCCTTTTATTTTATTGTTTCAAACTCATCTCTTTGGTATTCGTGTCATGTTTTGTTTTGATTTGATTTGTTTGACCCTGAGTCTTGCACTGCGGCCCTGTGGAAGGGTAGATGGCTGGGTGGGTGGGGGACGGGAAGAAGGGAATTGGCAAGATGGCGCAGCAGTTAAAAGCACTTGCCACCAAGCCCGACTACCTGAATTCTATTGCCAGACCGGCAGGATGAAAAGAGAGAACCCAAACACCTGAAAGTTGTCTTCTGACTTTGACATTCATACCCCCACCCCCTCCCCACCACCACACAAACACTAAATAAACACATTAATATAATTTGTGTTTTTGTTGTTATTATCTTAAAGTTTGTGTGGCGGGCTGAAGAGGTGGCTCAGTGGTCAGGGACACTTGATGCTCTTGCAGAGCCCTAGATTCAGTACCTCAGCAAGCACATGGGCGTTCCTGGCCCTGCCCTCCTTGGAAGGCAGCAAGGCTATAACGTTTGTAAATATATGCAAGCAACACTCATAAACACACAAAGTAAAAATAAGTCTTTGGGGAGAAAGTTTGGATGCCAAAGCCTAAACTGAAGAACCGGGAGTGGAACATGGCGCAAGATCTCTTCTTTTCTAGAGCTCGGTGCAGAGGCTAAGAGTCTCAGAGGCGGAGACCGCGCCCTGGTTGCCCTGGAAACCGGCCCGGGTCTGGGGACCGCTCCTCCTCCCAGCAATCTGGGAAGCAGAGGGCGGGACTTCACGGTGAGCCTGGGACTGGTCACGTGAGGAGCTGGCGCTGCCGGGCGCCGCTGCCCTGACGCAGGCCCTGCCGCCCGCTGAGTGGTGGGATCTCTGAGAGAAGGCTTCCAGACCCGAGGGCAGCCCGACCCCTCCGTGCGGCCGCCATGGAACTGACTTTAAGCCGGGCAGATTATCTCCAGGTAAACCGGTCTGCGGGCGCCCTCGTGGGTGGACGCGGGGATGCTGCCCTGCTCTCCGCAGGCCCCGCGAAGCAGCGGTCCCGCCAGGTCCAAGGGGGTGTCCCAGCCGCTCCCAGGGCCCTCAGCTGCCTTGTCACTTCCCCTCGGCTGACCACACCGGCCATATTTCAGTAAACCATCACAGCCCTATTGAGTTTACTAGATTATCACAAAGCTCTACCACTAGGTAGGGCAGATGCGGAGTCCAGGGCCCAGAGAAGGTAAATAATTTGCCCTGTAGTTGCAAATGATGTAGTTACTATTCGAATCAAGGTGTCAGACTCTAGAGCAGGTATCCCTTGGGTGCCGGACTTCTTCCTAGAACCATCTCTTAAGATTTCTCCGTGGTACAAACATTCGCCTGGTTTCCCAGAGGGTTAGGTCGGATACTTCACTTTGGCTGATAGTCACATCCTGTCAATGTCCCTTGGATCTATCCAATTAGTCACCACCTCGGTGATACCTTTAGCTTGGCTTGATAGGACCTACAGTCTACATGTTCAGCTTCCCCCAAGCCACGGTTCGAATCGCTTGAAAACGTCAAGCTAAACAGATTGCTTAAAACTTTTAACTCTGTGCCTAAGAATTCAGAAAAAAGTCATACCTGTACTACCTGCAGTTTTTCCGCGGTCGGTTGTCTTTAAGTTCTGTTGCACCTTCCGTGCCAGTTACCTCTGCTGAACAAGTAAGTCATGGTTCTTTCATCCCCCATACCTTTTGTAAAATAGTCATTGTCAGTTACACTGGGTTTTTATAACGTCAGCATGTAGGTTATTTCAGAAAAAGTCCCCATTTTCCATCACTCATAATTGGGAAGGGCTCCTGAAAATATTTCTTTTGAAACATCTCGCCAGTAATGTTGTGTATTATATTTTACTTAAGATGATACATTCGGGGTTGTTTCCTGTATTCTGACTTTCTCTGACATATTTCATTAGAATATAAGTTAACTGATAACAGTATCCATTTCAGTGAAAACAAACAAACCTAAAACTCACCATGATCATGTCTGTTGTTCTGTTTAAATTTCCGGTGTGATAAGTTCTGCTGGTGTGTTTCCTTAGGTGGGAGTTACCTCTCAGAAGACTATGAAGTTGCTTCCTGCCTCAAGACAGAGAGCTACACAAAAGGTGCCGTAGAGGCCAACTTCTCCTTCTCTGCCCCTGACAGGACAGGCTCATATCGCCATCCCTATTAGTAACTTATTGTGTAAAAAATGCTAATGTAAAGATGGAAATGGCAACTTTAATTTGATAGAAGCTGGAAGAGGAACAGACATTTACAGATGACCATGTTCTTGGACATTGATATTCTATACCATTAGCTGTGTAAGGAACTTCATAAAAATCAAACATCTTGAACTTCAGTTGTAGTTCAGTGGCAGACTCTTATTTACCATGTTGCAGACCCTGAAACCAGTCCCCAGCACTTCAGAAACAAAGTGAAACACTCCGGTTTTGGAAATTCACTCTGTGTAACAGATTGTGTGTGTGTGTGTGTGTGTGTGTGTGTGTGTGTGTGTGTGTGTAAGAAGAAGTGCAAACTGCAACAGAATATTGATAAAGTAATTTTTAAGCTTTCTGGGTTGTGGTTTTAGTTTTACTTATTTTATTTTTGAGACAGATTTTCATGTAGCCAAGGCTGGCCTGGAACTCCTGATCATCCTGCCTCAGGATCAGAAGTTTAGAGATTAGAGGCATGTGCAATCATGTCTGGTTTAAATATTCTCTTACTAAATTACTGAATTTTTTAATTCAGAATTTTTAAAATTTTTATATTAATTATAGATTATTCACTTTGCATCCCAGCTGTATCCCCCTCCCTCATTCCAGCCCAATCTCACCCTCCCTCCTCTCAAACCATGCCCCTTTCCAAGTCCACTGATAGTGGAGGTCCTCCTCCTCTTCCATCTGAGCCTAGCCTATCAGGTCTCATCAGGACTAGCTGCATTGTCTTCCTCTATGGCCTGGTAAGGCTTTTCCCCCCTCAGGGGGAGGTGATCAAAGAGCTAGCCACTGAGTTCATGTTAGAGACAGCCCCTGTTCCCCTTACTAGGGAACCCACTTGGACACTGAGCTGCCATGGGTTACATCTGTGCAGGGGTTCTATGTTATCTCCATGCATTGTCCTTGGTTGGAGTATCAGTCTCAGAAAAGAACCGTGTGCCCAGATATTTTGCTTCTGTTGCTCTCCTTGTAGAGCTCTTGTCCCCTCCACGTCATTCTATCTCCCCCTTTTTTCATAAGATTCCCTGCACTCTGCCCAAAGTTTGACTCTGAGCCTCAGCATCTGCTTTGATACACTGCTGGGTAGAGTCTTTCAGTGGCCCTCTTGATAGACCCCTGTCCTGTTTCCTGTTTTCTCCCTCTTCCAATGTCCATCCCATTTGCCTTTTTGAGTGAGGTTTGATCTTACCCAGGGTCCTCCTTCTTGCTTAGCTTCTTTAGGTGTATAGATTTTAATGTTTGTCCTATATTATATGTCTAACACCCACTTATAAGTGAGTGTATACCATGTGTGTCTTTCTGCTTCTGGATACCTCACTCAGGATGATCTTTTCTAGTTTCCACAATTTGCCTGCAAATTTCATGATTTCCTTGTTTTTATTTGCTGAGTAATATTCCATTGTGTAAATTTACCACAATTTCTGTATCTAGTCCTCAGCTGAGGGACATCTGATTTGTTTCCAGGTTCTGACTATTATGAATAAAGCTTCTACAAACATGGTTGAGCAAATGTCCTTGTGTACTTGAGCCTCTTTTGGATAGATGCCTAAGAGTGGTATAGCTGGATCTTGAGGAAACACTATTCCTAACTGTCTGAGAAAGCGCCAGATAGATTTCCAAAGTGGTTGTAAAGTTTACATTCCCACCAGCAATGGAGGAGGGTTCCCCTTTCTCCACATCCTCTCCAGGCATGTATTATCACTTGAGTTTTTTTTTTTTTTTTTTTTTTTTTGTTTGTTTGTTTGTTTGTTTTTTTATCTGAGCCAATTCTTATGGGTGTAAGGTGAAATCTCAGGGTTGTTTTGATTTGCATTTCCCTGATGACTACGGATGTTGAACATTTCTTTAATTTAATGCCATTCGATATTCCTCTATTGAGAATTCTTAGCTCTGTACCCCATTTTTTAATTGGATTACTTGATTTGTTGCTTTTTAACTTTTTGAGTTCTTTATATATTCTGGATATTAGCCCTCTGTCAGATATGGGGTTGGTGAAGATCCTTTCCCAATGTGTAGGCTGTCGTTTTGTTCTGATGACAGTGTCCTTTGCTTTACAGAAGCTTTTCAGTTTTATGAGGTCCCACTTATTGATTGTTGATCTTACAGCCCATGCTGTTGGCATTCTGTTCAAGAAGTTGTCTCCTGTACCAATGAGTTCTAGGCTATTCCCCACTTTTTTTTCTAACAGGTTTAGTGTATCTGGTTTTATGTTGAGATCTGTGATCCACTTGGACTTCAGTTTTGTGCAGGGTGATAAATATGGATCTTTTTGCATTTTTCTACATGTAGATATCCAGTTAGACCAGCACCATTTGTTGAAGATGCTGTCTTTTTCCATTGAATGGTTTTAGCTTCTTTGTCAAAAATTAAGTACCCATAGGTGTGTGGGCTTATTTCTGGGTCTTCTATTTGATTCCTTGATCCACCATTCTGTTTCTATGCCAGTACCATGCTGTTTTTTATCACTATTGTTCTGTAGTACAGCTTGAGATCAGGGATGGAAATACCTCCAGATGATCTGTTGTTGTATAGGATTGTTTTGGCAATTCTGGGTTTTTGTTTTTCCATATGAAGTTGAGAATTGTTCTTTCAAGGTCTGTAAAGAATTGTGTTGGTATTTTGATGGCAATTGCATTGAATCTGTGGGTTGCTTTTGACAAGTTATTGTTTTTAATGTTGAACTTTGTATTAACATTTTATGGACATAAACCATTTATTTTATAGAATAGCAGGATAGTTTAATAGTTTCAAATTAAATATATTTTCTTGATATGTTAACATTTATTGGGATGAATTAAGAGATTTTTTTTCTTGATAAACCTACTTAAAGGCATTATTTGACCTTTGGCTACATTTTTTAAGTGATTTGAATATGGAAGTTCTTACAAATAAGGTTTTTAAATATGTGAGAGAAATCTGATGTTTTAAACAGAATTTCAAGACAGTTAACTGATTTCTGATTATTATTATTATAGTCTAGATATAACAATACTTCCTAAACTCTTTACTCATTTAAATTGTTAAGGATCTGAAAGAATTTATTTAAGTGATATCAGTACTAACTATATTAAATTAACTCTAAGAAATATTTAAAATATTAAAAATCAAACTCATGTTTACATGAAAACTTTACTTTTGTTAAAACATTTTCAAAATCGGATAACTTAGAGATAATATGATATCATGTAACATTTTTGCAAATTCTTAAAAATGTATGTCATAAGCAAAGGTAGGTGGTTTCTTTTGTTTTTTTCTGCATTCAGTCTGTTGTATTTTGTTTTTATTGCAATACATGGGGGAAAAAAACCTCATTAAATCAGTTTACATGGATATGTAGTTGAAAACAGTGAAAGGTACTTAAGTAGCTTTTCCAGGTAACTATAACTTTGGATGCCATCTTTACATTTGCTGAGGTTTCTCGGATATCCCTGTAGTGTGTAATCTGAAGGCCCTGGTGAACTTTTTCCATAACAGTAATTAGACTCTGAATCCATGTGTTGCAGGTGGTTGCTGGAGATCAAGATGGGGTAGTGATCTGCTTCAGCATGAAGAAAGGCGAGGCGGTGGTGAGTGGAGCTGTTCTAGTATCCTTGCTGGATACTCCTCCGTGAAAGTCTTCCTAAAATACAGGCGTGGACAACAAGCTGTAACATTTTATGTTTAACACCATAGCTTTTATAGTAAAGGAAAATGTTTACGGCAAAATAACTTGTACACTTAACTTTTTTTCCCAATTTTTTTTTGCAGACAGTGTTCAAGACTTTACCAGGGCAGAAGATTTCAAGGCTGGAACTGGGAGGGGCTCTTAACACACCCCAGGAGAAAATTTTCATTGCTGCAGGGTCCGAGATTAGAGGCTTCACAAAGAGAGGAAAGCAGTTTCTCTCTTTTGAAACAAACCTCACTGAAAGCATTAAAGCTATGTATGTTTTATTCTCTTTTATGTTTACATATGTATCTGTTTATAACACACTGAGTTGATGTAAAACAGCTGATTGAATTAGTATTACATTAGTAGGTTTTCTGGAAAATAAAACTGGATACAGGTATTTTATTAGTCAGAACCTGATCAATACAGAGTTGATTGGCTGTTGATGTTTTCAATGTTTCTAACTTCACATTATGTATGTGTGTGTGTGTGTTTACTCAAATTCACTTTTTGTTTTGGGGGCATTTTTAAAAATGTTTTGTATTTTTCATAGTTACATAGTAATTGTGTACATTTGTAAGTCACAAAGTGATATATTCAATACATGTACATGGTGTGTGATGTCTGATCAGAGTAATTAGCATATTTCTCACCTCTGACATAACTTATGTTGGGAACATTCTAAGACCTCTTTACTTATTTCAAAGCACAGAGTTCTGTATATTCAGTTTTCACTCTCTGGTTCAGTTATGATTATGATCATGATCAAGGTTTGTGTAAAAAGTTAAAAACAAAACAAAAAATCTCTTTAGAAACACAGGTTCCTATCCCTCAAGTGTTTTTGGCAGCTCTGGTTTTGAGGAAGCAATATTATATTAGAGGGCTGACCAGGACCTGAATGTGGCAGCTCCTGCCTGTAATCCCCACACTTGAGGGACAGACAGAGGCCTGGCGTGAAACTGAGGCCAATTTGGGTTGTGTAATGAGTTCAGTATCACTATGGGCTACAGAGTGAGACCTGGTTTTAAAACCAAAAGCCTGGCCATACTAATGCTTGTAATTTCTGGTGAATTGGATAAAACCAGGTGAAAAATAAATGACTTCCTGGCATGTGAAGTTTCACACTTAAACATTTAGATTTTTTTTTCTACTTAGTGGTCGGGAAAGAGGGGAAGGAGAAGGAGATAGGCATGCGTTGCTATGGTTTATGGGTAGAGGATAGAGACAGGTTTGTAGAGTGACTTTCCTCCTACATTTATGTGAGTTCTGAGGAGAGGATTCACATCATTAGGCTTACATGGCAAGCTCTTCACCTTCTCAGCCATCTTGTCAGCCCTGAAATTTTAGTCTTTGAGCCATGCGGGCTAGAGAGGCCTTAAAGTGTATGTAATCCAGTCTCCTAACCCTGCTAACTCAAGAGCTCCTGGGAAGCCTAGCAGTGGCTAGCCTAGCTCACGCTTGGTAAGCTGAGCAACTAGGAGTGGCCTTTAACTTTCTTCCTTTGCTGTGATGCAGCCAAGTTGTACATGTAGCCAGAGGCCTGGCTTGGAAACTACTAGTTCACACCATCTGTCTTCATGGCTGACAGACGCTTATGTGTCATTCTGTGCAAGCACAGTACTTCTCTTGACTCGTGAGGACTTTTACAACAGGAATCAACAGCAAGAAGTGAAAATACTCTCAAATGGTATTTAAACTATATATAGCGTGTTTGAAATGCCCTTGTAGATCAAAAATTAGAAACTTGCTGTGATTATTAGCTAAACTGTATTGAAACAATTACAAATGAACTTATTTTCAAGATAACATTTAAGGAAAACATTCCCACTGTTCATTATTTACGTTAAAGTCGATGGAAGTGTACTTTTCTAGTCACATTCATGTGAAGCTAACTCTGGAGCTGAAATTACCCAAGCTGTAGTCTGTCATTTACAGTATGAGCCATTAGGCCTGTAACATTTTACTATTCATTTATAAAGGTGATAATAACATTCTGTATAGGATTATAGTGTTAGTGTGCTAATCTGAGTATATCAGTTAGAACAGCGCTTGGCAAATGGTGCACATTAAAAGATTTCTCTTTTGATACTGTTATAAATTTTTAATAGACAAATTAACAAACTTTTTCTTTAGTTTTTATTGTTCTGAGCGTATTACTGAGGAGCCCAACTTACAGTCCTCATTTTCAGTCTTCAGAGTCAGAGGTGCTGCATCAAATGTCTAGAAATTAAAGCTACACAGTTTGTGCCTATAATCCCACACTTAGGAGGTAGAGGCGAAGATCATGATTCCAAGGTCATCCTCAGCTATGAGAGTGAGATCAAGGGCAGCCTAGAACTACTCAAGGGCCTGCCTTTAAGAGAAGAGGGGAGCCTGGCATAGGCCTCTAATCCCAGCACTCGGGAAGGCAGAGGCAGGCAGATATCTGTGAGTTCGAAGCCAGCCTGGTCTACAAAGCAAGTCCAGGAAAGCCAAGGCTACACAGAGAAACCCTGTATACAAACAAACAAACAAACAAACAAACACAAAACAAAAGAGGGGGGAGGAATGAAAATTAAGTGGGGGAAATAAAAATCTATAGAAAATATTAAGTAAACTTTTCATATCTAAAAACAAATCAGTTATCTATGTTTTAAAATATGAATGTCCTAAATTACTATTTTAATGTCCTCAGGTACATATCTGGCTCTGACCTCTTTCTCAGTGCAAGTTACATCTATAATCATTACTGTGATTGCAAAGATCAACATTATTACCTTTCTGGGGACAAAATCAATGATGTCATCTGCCTTCCTGTGGAAAGGTTATCTCGCATGACACCAGTGCTGGCCTGCCAGGACAGGGTGCTCCGCGTCTTACAGGTGACGTCCTTTGGGTTTTTATAACTTTTCATTATTCAGTAAGTCATTATGGGTGCCATGCGCGTAAGGTGACTTTATGTAAAGTCAAATGTAAGAAAATATTTCTTTTACATTTGATAATTTCTTTCTTACTTCAGGCAAATGTGTTGAGATCTTTAGAAAGTTTTAGAAAATATATAAAGAGGGACAGAGCTCCCTTCTGCTTCCTCGTCCCTCCAGTCCTGAATGCATGCCATCAGCATAGAGTGCTTTAACATTATTGTCAACACTTTGACTGCATTGTTCCTTCATTACTTTTCTGGTCCTCACGGATTAGAAGGAGAAATTGGATAAGAGGAGAAGGCTACAAATAATTTGAATTTATCAATCATAATCACAGTGTGTAGAATAAAGCACTCAGTAAATAATTCATTGCATAAATAACTGGTAGAATGTTTGCTTAACATAAACTTAACAGCACTACATAAACCTGATGTTGTGGTACAGACCTGAAGCCTCATCACTCAGGAGGTGGCCAGATTCAGAAATTCAAGACCGTCTCTAGCTTTGTAGGGAGTTTGAGACCTGCCCAGGAGATATGAGATCCTGTTTCAGAAAGTACAAAGCAGGAATGAGCTAGCATTCAGCGAGAAATTACCTGGCTGATTTCTAGATTTTGCTTTGTTTCATATGAGGCCATCTGTATTCTTATTTATTGTTTCATTTTTTTTTTCTAGACAGGGTATTACTATGTAGTTCCTGTATGGACCAGAACTTTGTAGACCAGGATAGCCTCACACTCACGGTGATCCATAAGTCTCTGCCTCCCAAGTTCTGGGATCAAAGGTGTGTGCTATTATGCCTGCCTGTATTCTTATTGTTAAAAAAAAAAGTCAGCAAGAATTTGTGAAAGGAGAAAACGGAATGTTTTCCTTGAGCCTTGCCATTTCTGCTTTCACTCATTTGAGAATGCTCCATCCCCTGAGCTTGCCTCTTGACAGCTCGTGGGTGTTCTTTTATACTCATAGATATCTATACATTTTAAATGATTAATAAAGAATAAATTTATGGCTCTTTTCCATGTTCTAAATCTACATTAAAATCTTGTAAGTGCTCTATCTATGGAATTATGTAAGTGGAAAAACTGAAGAAAAAAAAGATAAATGAAAAAACCCAGCTTGCTTTTTTGTTGTTGTTTTGTTTTGTTTTTTAATCCAAGTAGCATGGATTCTGCCCCTCAACAGGAGTGAGTTTGGGAATATCAAAAGCCCAGGCCTGAGTTCTTCTTAGGAAGTAGCATCCCTTTGGAGGTGCTCAGACTTGTAGTATCCTATGTTAAACCTTCCATTTAATACTAGAGAAGACAGAAGAAGTCACACTTGTTGTGAGAAAGTTTTGAAAGGAGTTTATCAGTATATGGTCTTCAGATAAGCAACACATTAAAAGTGAAACTCCTCTGTCTAGAAGTTCATTGAATTGTTTGGCCTTTGGATCTGGCTAATTATGTTTTTTTTAATAAGAAAGTTCAAAGTTAAAAATGAAAACCATTGAAAGTAGAAAATATATTATGTGTTATTCCTTTGTTGTATATGTATTTCATTTTCAGTGTGTTAATATATGTGAAGTTATTGAGAACATATATTTATGACCTACTTTCTTAAAGCACATTTATTTTAAATTTTTTTATGAGTTATATTTTCAAATGTTGGTGTTTCCCTTGATTTCCCATCTTTTGAATTGTTTTTTTTTTTTTTTTTTTTTTTTTTGGTTTGGTTTTTTCAGTTTTTAAAATTCTTGTTTTCCTTCAGGGATCTGATGTGATATATGAAATTGAAGTTCCTGGCCCACCCAGTGTCTTAGCGCTCCATAATGGAGATGGCGGTAATCACATTTCCTATTCACAGAGAGCTGTTTGTGAAAAGATTAAGTAAAAATGGGGTTGCGTACACAATGTATCAGAATTGCATGTGTTCTCTTCTTCTCACTTCCTGCTCAGTTATGAATTATTGAACTTATACGCTTTACTATGTGACTACATGGTGACTATTTTATTCTAGTTTCTATGATCATAACAACACAGTATAGAGGAAATATGTGTTTAATCTTCATTGATGAGATTGTTGTTTCAAGATAATAAGCATGTAGTCATGAATGTCATATTGTTAGGATTCCATAGGAACTACCTCAAAGCAGAGGAATAATGCTGTCTTGCTTCTAGACACTTAAGGACCAGCTCTCTTAGAAAAGAAGAAATGCTAGATAAAGTAATTTTAGTTCAGAAATTGTAAATGTAATTAAAAGGTATAGAGTCAATATAGACAAGCATCCTGGCATACATGGACTCTTTTTTTCTATTTATTTTTTATTAATTTGTTTTTGGTATATAAAAACAAAAACTTTATATGAATGGTAGTATCATATGTTTTGAAACATATATGCTAAACATTTTCCCTTTTAAAAATTTCCCCAAATTAAGTTTCTTGTCTTTATGTCATATTTGAAAAATAAGATTTTACATTAAAATGTTTTTTTTTTTTTAATGTTAGTATGTTTTTGTTTGGGTGTTTGTAATCGTCACTTTAATTTGAACTAGGTGACTCTGGAGAAGGCCTTCTGTTTGGCACATCAGATGGGAAACTTGGACTTATTCAGATAACCACATCTAAACCCATACACAAATGGGAAATTCGAAATGACAAAAAACGGGGAGGTAGGTTTGCAACATAGTTCACATTATGAAATTTCAACAATTATTTAATAAAATAGAGCGTGCAACTTATTCTGTGTTATTTAGTTATATTATTTAGCAAGCTTAGTTATTCACAGGGCCACCTCTGACTTATCTGCTGTTTGTTTTTGGCATCTGTTATACTACAGATATACTTTTTAAAATAAGAAATGCTTCTTGTAGTTTGGGATAGACATATAGGTTAATATCCATTACTCCATGTTAAACTCCACTTTAACTGGGATAGAGAATTAATTGGAATCTGGGATGTAAAGAATGCAATAGTGAGTCAGAAACTATTCCTATTTTTTTTTAAAGAGAGTCTTATAAATTTCCAGGAATTTATATCCAACTTAGTGGCTCGTTAGATGGCTATTCATATGTACAGGATATTTGTTCATTTATCCCTTAATAGATACTTGCTGGGGAGACAAAGAACGAATGAATGACTACCTGATCCCTTCAGCTGGGCATCTGAAGAATACAGGGCCTTAGCGTGTGGTAGGGTGGTGATAGAAGCAGCCCCTGTTAGACCCAGTAATCAGAGACACAAAGTGCTTTTGAAAAGGCACATTTGAGCTGAGAATATCTGGGGAAAGAATATTAAAGAGGAGGAAAAAATAATCATTGCAAAGTCCTTGAAACAGAGATGAGCTTGACTCATTGGAAACTGAGCACAGTTATGTGGCCCGAGGAGAACTGGAGGAATAGAGCCAGACTGCAGATCCTTTAGCCTTGGAAGAGTGTCTTTGCAGTGGGTAGTGCTGGGAGAATTGTTTACAGAAGGTGTGATGTGATCAAATTACTAAAAAGAAGCAAAATAGATTTGTATAGAGAATGGGTTTGGGAAAAAACGTCCACATTAAAAACATAGAGACCATTTTTGAAGTCGGTGTAGTTTATTACAGCATCCTGGTTCATCCTTAGAATAATAGAAGCAGAAAGAAAAGAAACTAAGTGTGTGTGTGGAAGCAGTGGATTTGATACAGAGAGTGAAAAGAATGATGCCAGAGATATAGCCTAGAATTGATTAGTCTGTGCAGATGGGAGGTGTAACTTACTAAAAATGGAGGAAGAGGAAAGTGAACAGTACTGATGCCATGGAGTAAAAAGTATTAAAGAGTTAGCTTGGGGAATGTAAAGTTTGAGGTGCCCATGTGTACAGGACGGTGCCAGATCGGACATAAGAGTCTGGGTCTTAGTGAGGGGTCAGAGTGAAAGGGAGATGTAAACGTGGGTGCATTGCTGTGTAAATGTGCTTTTCATAGCTTTGGCAAAGAGAAAAACACTCAGTTATGCGCAAAGCTGTTCTTTTTCTTCACCCTGTTCTGATTTACCACATCAGGTTTTCGTAACTATGGGGTATGAAAGTATGTAAATATATGTGTATATTCTGCTGCATCTACTGGTTTTCTAACTCACCACTCGTTATTTTAACTCACCCTTTCATATAGGTATCTTGTGTATTGACAGCTTTGATATCATGGGTGACGGAGTTAAAGATTTACTTGTTGGGAGAGATGATGGAATGGTGGAAGTGTATAGCTTTGAGAATGCAAATGAACCTGTGCTGCGATTTGATCAGGTAAGTGAATAGAAAGGTTTGTGTGGGGCCTGGGGCTGTAGCCAACTGTGCATAAATCTATCCCTAATATTATAAAACAGATGCAAAAGAAAATGGTTATTGTAGAGATGGTTTGATAGTTTGAATTTTAGTAAATTAAAATGTAATACAACATTATTTTTAAACAAAATGTTATTCTGTCCCAATCTGGTGGTGAGGCCTCTAAATCCCAGCAACTCAAGAGGTGGAGGCAGGAGGATCACAAATTCAAGGGCTGCCTTGAAGAAGAGTAAGCATCTTCAGTGAGACTCTGTCCCGAAAAGGACCAGGATATTGCTCAGTGGTAAACACTTTCCTAGTGTGCCCAAGGCCCTGTCCAACCTGCAGGACCAATAAATAAATACTTTATCAAAATCTCTAGTCTAGTCTTGTGTTTGAATGGCAGAGTATTGCCCTTAATCTGGACAATAAATTCCTTTTTCATTATCACTCTTAAATAGCATATTTAATTTCTTATGTATTAAATATTTTATTCTAGTTTCTAGAAATCATAACAACACAGTATAAGGGAAACATATGTTTGGTTTTCATTGATGAGGTTGTTGTTTTAAGATAATAAGAGCATAGACATGAATGTCATATTGTTAGGATTCCATAGGAACTGCCTTAAAGCAGAGGAGTAATAATATCTCGCCTCTAGACACTTAAGGACCAGCTTTCTTAGCAAAGAAGAAATGCTAGGCAAAGTAATTTCAGTGCAAAAAATTGAAATGTAATTAAATAGTACAGAGTCAGCCTATACAAGCGTTGTGGCATACATGGGATCTTTTTTTTCTATTTATTTTTTATTAATTACATATGGCATCATATGATGTTTTGATACATATACAAAGTATTTTCCTTCAAATATTTTAAATTACATTTATTTGTGAATTTATGTATTAATGTCTGTAGAAAGGCATTTCTTGTATGTTTTTGTGTGTGCATATACATGTATGTATATGGCATGTATATGTGCATGTATATGGCGTGGAGCACCTATCAGTGCATACGTATGGAGGTGAGAGGCTAACTTCCAGGTGTTGGTTCTCTCTTTCTACCATGTGGGTCCCAGGGATCAAACTCAGGTTGTCAGGCATGGCGACAAGCATCTTTACCCACTGAGCCATCTTGCCGGTGCCTGAGTATCATGTTTAAATAGTGTTAAACATATTTCTTTGGTGCAAATACTCAAAATCGTGTCTTGTAGCCCTTTGGCATACATGGCACACAAGCGCTATCTGCAGTCGCTATACAGGGCCAAGTGCTCTTTTCCTTTTTGTATTACAACTCACTCTCCGGACTTCATAGCATATATACGTTAATGCGCATTAATCAATCAACTTTTCCTTATTCTTCCCTTCCCTACTCTTCAACAGCTACGATGCCACCACCCTGTCCTTAACTCCTGAGATGAGGTCCACACTTGATGTTCCACATAGGCATGAGAACATGTGTGCTGTGTCTGGCTTATTTCAATTCACGCGATTTCCAGTTCCATCTGCACTGTTTCAGAATACAGGGTTTCATTCCTTTTGTGGCTATATAGTATCCTGTTTCATAGCCTGATGTTGGTACTAGTGGTTCTGATTAGCATACTAAAATCCGAGAGGGCAGGCTGCTTTAGAGAGGTGCAGGTTAGGTTGGCTTTGGTTCAGGTGGAGGGAGTAGGCCTTCACTTGGTCATGGTGTTCCTGCTGTCAGATTCCCAGCAGAGCACAGAGTGCCACAAATACCAGAGATGTCTGATTGCGCTTGTGTTTTCTCTCTTACAAATGCCCCACGACCCAGTCCTGAGGCTCTGCTGAAGACTTTGTCTATCAAATCCTTTTTCAAAAGCTCCTCCCCTCGGCCCTTAGTTGGATTAGTCCATTAACACATGACTTTGGAAATGAAGTTCCCAAGGGTGTATACATGTTTGGGCTGGGCATTCAGATAGGAGCTATGTGATCCCTTCCCTTCCCGGGCTTCCCCATGCTGCCTTGTGGAGGCTACCCTGACGATGTTCACAAAGCGCGTTACAGATGGGACCACGCTGAAATTAAATGTTAGGCAGTTGAGCATTTGGCAGATGTAGTTCAGACTTGTTCATCTTGGCATAAAAAGTCATCTTGATAAGCAGGAGTCAAGGAATGGTTCAGGCGTCAAGCATATCACAGTAATCGAGGGTGCGCTTTTCTTACCCCTCCCTGAGAAATGTTTCCTGTTAGACCCCAAGCCTTCTCCACCTTCTGATTTTTACCTCAGTAAATAACACAGTATTTGCTTGCTTGCTCACTCATGTCTGCCACTAAATGGTCCTATCTCCCGAGCTGTTTCTTCTAATTGTCTAATGATAAGGGGACTGATCTCTAAGTTTGTGTCAATAAAAACGAAAAGAACAAGACTCCGACTGATGCTGAAGTCAGCCTCATTCCTGCAAGAGGAAGTTTTGGCTTGCAGTTAATAATTTGGGATTTTTAAATGTCGTGATGGTTTTATTTTAAAATATTATTTACAACTTCCATAAGGTTATGATGAAAATTTTAGAAGTTAACTTAAAAACATTCAATGAATGCATAGCTTTTTTTTCATTAGGGAAAAAAAATCCTTTGAAGAAATTTACAGACTAGACTAAATTAGCTGATTGGTTATATAATTTATCAAGCCTCTCCTTTATATAAATATTTTTGTCACAAATATACTAGGTTTTTTTTTTTTGACTCTTCTGTCCTATATTTAAAAATGCTGGCATTCTCTATCATTTGTTCAGACTTTGCTCTCCTGATCTCAGTGTCTGTACATGACGAATATGCACAAAATATGTGTTGAATAGCTGGAGTCATGAAGCCATGTCTTCTGACTTCTTTTAGCATGACTCTGAAACGAAGTGGATTTTACCTTCCTTTTAGATGTTGTCTGAAAGCATCACATCGATCCAGGGTGGGTGTGTGGGGAAAGATGGTTACGATGAAATTGTACTGGCCACATATTCAGGTAAGGGACTGCGAATGGGTAGTTGAGGAATCTCAAACAAACAAAAGCTAGGTTTACGAAAGGTTTTTTGACTAATTTTATTACATTTGTATATGCATGTATATGTGCGTGTGTGTGTGTGTGTGTGTGTGTGTGTGTGTGTGTGCATGCCTGTGTAAGGGGGGAGGATACGGTATATGATACAAGTGCTCGCCAAACTTGATAACTAACTTCCATGCCCAGGTCCCATGTCGGGGAGGGAGAGAGCCAGTTCTTGCATGCTGTCTGAGCTCTTTTACAGGTGTGCCCTGGCATATTTGCCCCTTACTTCCTGCTCCCTGTACAAATAAATGTAATATTAAAAAAATAAAAATGGCTGGGGATGTAGCCCAGTGGTTTCATTGCCCCAAATGTGTAGGGCCCCGTGTTAGATCTAAAATTTGAATGATATTTTGAAGAGAGCTTAGCCTGTCTCTAGTGCCTTTGCAATAAAGCTATTCTTCAGTTTAAAGAGAAATATTTACTAAAACCAAGACTGTGTTTTGGCCTAATGCATATCAAAAACTTAATTTTAAAGTTTAAAAAAATTCTCATATGAGTACAAATTTCCATGATAATTATTAGTAACAGCCAATTCTGATTTGTCAGCTACTTTTAAATTTGCTAGAATGTACTGATTTATACCATACTTGAAAACTGAAGTGTTTTTTTTTTTTTTTTTTTTTTCCCTTGGGTGAGCTCCTCAGAGATGGGTTTATTGGTTTTAGGTCTGCACTCTGGTGCCCTTTGCGACCACTGGGCTATTTATTCTCTATCCCTATGGATTTGTTTTTTTTCTTAATATTTTTTTTTTACTTTTTTTTTTTTTTATTAATTACACTTTATTCGTTTTGAAAACTGAAGTTTTTAAGAACTAAAAGATTGTAGCACTTCAAGGAAAAAGGAGTGTCATGAAATGCTTAAGTACCTCCTTTCTGGTATGAATGTTTTTCAGCTTAAATTTTTTGTTCTATTTTCTAAGAAGTCTTAGGGCTGCTAGGTCGATGGTGGTGGACAAAGGGGAGTATAATTAGGAGTTCTGTGTCCTGCTTTTACCCTCAGCAGTAAGTCATGTGTGACTGTAACTCATCTTTCCAGGCTGGGTGACAGGGCTGACTACAGAGCCCACTCATAAGGAAAGTGGACCAGGCGAAGAACTGAAACTAAATCAGGAAATGCAGAATAAAATTTCTTCTTTACGGTAACACGTTTTCTTTGCTGTTTTCATCTCATCGAAGTTTGTACTTGTCCCCCATTTTGTGTGAATCATAGGATTACTTGCTCTGTTTTATTAATAGGAATGGCATATCTCATGAAAGCTTGTAGACTTAAGAAACTTAGCAGTAAGTGCCGATTAATATTGGGTTTGAAATATGCGTTCATATGCAACCTTCCCTATACATTACTCTTTTTGTTCCGGAGGACAAGTTCTCATACAGCTTGGGCGGTTCTCTAACTCTTTCTGTAGCTGGAGATAACCTTGAACTCCTGATCCTCTTGTTCCTGCCTCCAAGGTGCTGGATTCCAGGTGTGCCATACCACACCCACCTGTTGCCTTAGTCTCTCTTACTGCTCCAGAATTGCATTTTGTTCATTTGCTTAGCTGTGGGGAGTTACAGTGTTTTGCTTCTGTTTTCCCAGAGCATGACAAATGAACAGAAGTGACTAGAGTTCTTCATTAACTCCAATGCTGACTGTACTGTTCTGTAAGATCCGACCCTTCTGATCTTTAAGGTTCTCTTGCTGGACCTGAATAATGCTGACTACTTTTTGTGCTGTTTTCACAGCCTACTCAATTTGATATGTCCTGTGAAAAGTTGACCCCATGCTCACATACAATAAGGAAATGGAAGTTGTTAAAACTTTTATTGACTGGGCATCCTTATAGCCTTTGCTAAATTCTTAAGGAAGTGAGAGCTCACCTTTTTTGATGGTAGTTGAAGGCTACAAGGACTTTTAAGGCAACAGATGCCACAAGTACTAGCAGCATGCTCTTGTTTGTAAAGACCACCAGGAAACCATCATACAATCTAATGCGCCAGATTCATTCGGGTACGGTACTCTAGTTTCTGCAATAGGAAATAGGGAGTTGGCCCAGTAGAGAAAGCACTTGCCAGGAAACCATAAAGTCCAGAGTTCAGATCCCCAGAACCCATGCAAAGAGCTGGATGAGTGTGGTAGCCTACCGTAACCTCAACACTCAGGAGGCAGAGATGGGGGATTCTTGGGGCTGGCTAGCCAGCTAGCAAGACTACCTGCAGTTTACCAATCCAGGTTCAGTGAAAAACCCTGCCTCAACAGAAGGCCCTACACCAGTTTCTTGCCTTTACATACGTGGGGACCATACACAGTGAACCCACATGCATGTGAACATGTGTACACACATTAAAAATGCCAAGTAGACTTAGACTAACTGCTGTGTTAGGTCCTCAGTACGTTACCTAGAACAGAGGGTCAGGCTTCCTGAAACTGGAATTACAGTGAGCATCCAATGATCTTAACTGCTGAACCGTCTGTCCAGCCCCCAATAATTTTTTTAAATAATGTAGTCGTCCCCATCTGATCATACTGGAACAGAAGCTGTGTGACAGATTATATTCTTTTGTTCACTCAGCACATGGAACACTGGAGTAAATATGTAATATTGATTAGTAAATATTTCTTAGATTAATTAATATTTTTCTTTGTTTATTGCATACATCCCATTCAGTCTCCTCCTCAGACCTGTCTCCTAAATTTGGATAGCTAGCCTTCGTGTTGTCCCAAGTGTTAGTTCATTTGTGTGTAACCTTTCGCTTCAACCAAAACACCCTTGTCAGCACTGATAGGGTGCCCCACATTTGATGGAATTTCAGTGGTTCCACTGGTTCATCACCCTTTCCAGTTTGAAAATGTTAGTATTTGGTAATCAACTCCCCATTTTGTGTATCTACTTTAATGACCTATGGAAAAGAGTATGTTTGCTGGCTTCATGCTTTCGCGTCTGTCATTTGTCTGCTGTGTAGCTCGTGGGTTACTTTCTCTTCTGCTCAGTGGTGTATGCAGCTGCTGCCGTGGTGTGTTGGAGCTAGTCATTTGTAACCTGCCTTGAGAGAGCCCTGTTAGTAACACTGTTACTGGGCTGAAAGATGTTTCAGATATCAGATCAATGATAAATGATGTGTTATCATTTGGTCAGTGATAGAAGCAAAAATTTTTCCTGTTGGTGTGAAGTTCTGACTCAGCGTCTAAACCAGGTTTCTCAAAAGGAAATCTCTCACTCTTTTTGTGCACACTGTAGGGATCTCAGATGTCAGTGGGTGATAAGACTGTGTGTGTTTTCCTGCAGGAGTGAGCTAGAACATCTACAGCTTAAGGTGCTGCAGGAGAGAGAAAACTACCAACAGTCTTCGCAGTCAAGCAAGGCGAAGTCAACAGTACCTTCATTCAGTATAAATGACAAGTTCACGCTCAATAAAGACGATGCCAGCTACAGCCTCGTCTTAGAGGTGCGGACTGCAATAGATAATGTCTTAATACAGGTAAGCAGAATGCCTCTTTTCTCAGTTTTAGGCTAGATCTGTTCTGTTTTTTTGTTGTTGTTGTTTTTCCAAAACAGTCACATGCACTTATTATTTATAAACATTTTCAATCTTAGTAATTTTAAATGTTTGTGCATCTTTGGTTAGGTAGTCAGTTTACTTGTAGGTTATTTTATTTATTCTATAACCAAAAGATGTGTGAAGTTGTTTCCCAAGAAATAGAAAGGACAACAGGATTTCCTTCTTTGGCCACCTTCTAGGAGAATCTCTGTTTCTTTGGTTTTGTTTTGTTTTGAGACAGTGTTTCTCTATGTGACTTTGTCCTGGAACTCACTCTGTAGACTAGGCTGCCTCTGCCTCCAGAGTGCTGGGATTAAAGGCATATACCACCACAGTTGGCAGAATCTTAGCCGCAATGCGGCATAGAAAACTCCAGTGTCTGCTAGGTGCTATGGCTTAGCCTGTGATTGCAGCACTCACAAAGACGAGGCAGAAGGACTGCTGAAGTTTGAGCCACCCTGAACTATAGAGTAAGACCTTGCCTCAAACAAACCAACCAACAAACAAACAAAGCAGGGACGGCTCCGATATTCAATGCCTTTGTTAAAATGTTTTCTGACTCTCCATATACTAAGATGGAAGCTTACTTATTAACCCAGGAGATTCTAGGAAGACCAGTAAGCAAAAAAGATAATCTCAAAGGGTGAAATTTAGGGATAATAATGGGTAACTCACAACTATTTTTGGTTTATTTATTTAAGTTGGAATATAGCTATGAAAGAAAAGGATAGACAGAAAATAATTAGATGAGAAACCCATAAAGATGGGAGGGTATCAAATTAGCAGAAAATGATTTGTCTAAAAGATGCAATAAAAGGGTCGGATTATTAATTGATGGAAGAAACCTTCTTCAGCTGTGTTAGCTCCCAGGCTGCCGCACTAAACCACTTTCTCGGCTCCAGTCTCACATTCCTCAGGACAGCAGCTTTCTCTTAGGATTTGCCCTGCTGAAGAGGCCACATGTGCTTAACTCTGTAACAGATGAAATTCAGCTTGATTAAAAAATGACCCCGCAGCTAGGGAGATTGCTCAACTGCTTGCCCTGCGCACTCTGGGATTTGGAGCCATAGGTGTCTGCGTCTGTAATCCCAACACTAGGCAGAGACAGGTAAACCCTAGGAGCTCTCTGCTCAGCTGGTCTAGCTAATTGGTTTAGTGAGAGACTCCGTCTCAAAAACCAAGGTAGGAAATGACTGAGGAAGACACCTACACATCTGTCCACATGCACACATTCATATATCCACACACATATAACTGCTCAGAATGACCCCATGATTAAAGCCCTGATAAGCTCACTGATTTAAACAAAACAGGAAGATTATTCTTTAAGGAGGTAAGAGAGTGTTCTGTGAGTTCTGATAACCTAAATATTAAAGAATGGATGATTATAAGATAAAATGTATTCTTTATTAAATTTACTTTCTTGAAATATAAACCACTAGATGGACATGATGGTTCACACCTATGATCCCAACACTCAGAAGTCTAAGGAGGATCCCAATTAAGGCCAGACTCACTAGAGTGAAGCAAGTCTTTAGTGCCAGAAATGGAGAACAGAGGTGGGCAAATCTCTGTGAACTCAAGCTTGGTATACATACAGAGCTCAAGATCAGCTAGGGGTACATGCGGAGAACTTGTCTCAAACAACAACAATCAGGGAAGGAGGAAAATAAGCAAATTTAAAGTATTTACACTCTCAAGTTTGAAGACATAAAAACAAACTGGGATTAAGGAGAATCCTTAGCATAAACATTTTGTGCATACTTTCAGGTTTTCCGTCTGAACCTTTTTGTTTTTAAATATTTGCTGTAGAGTGACGTTCCAATAGATCTGCTTGATGTGGATAAGAATTCTGCTGTTGTGAGCTTTAGCAGCTGTGACACAGAGGTGAGTTAAAAAAACAAACAAACAAAAAACCTTCAGGTCTTGGTTTTTGTTTGTAAGTGCTGTCAGGGTTTGAAACTGCCGCTCCATCCTTCCCACGCTGGCTTTTCTCTTAGAACCTGCTCTTGTCCATTCCCTGTCCTCGGATGTTCTGACCCTGAGGCCCTGCCCTAGACCCCTGGAGGCTCTCATCCCTGCGCTCATCCTCCTTCCCCTCTAACCCACTCCATGACCTATCATGTCCTGCTACACAACTTACGCCTTCAGCTCCCCTGCCTCCAGTCTTGCCACTCACCTCAAGACTGCTCTCTGCCACTACCAGAGGGGTCTCTGTAAAGTACAAATGCCACTGAGTCATGTCTCAAAACCTTTTAAAGGTTCCTGTTTCCTGCTGGATGTAAGTCTAGATGTTTGTTGTATGTTGAAGTCTCTCTCTATTTCAGCTCTTAATTCTATCTCCCAACCTAGCCCTAAGCAGGAGTGCCTCTTCTTTCTTGCACAGTCATTCTGCCAAAGAAGTCCTTCCAGGCCTTTCCTCACAATGCTGTAGTTCTGCGCTTCCCTGCATTAGCACGTCTGTTCCTTCCCTTGTTCTTTCGGGTGCACTCTAGGCTTTTCAGGTGCTCACAGATGCTGTCAGTGGGCTTTTGTTGAGCCCTGATTCTATAAAGTACCTGTAATTAGAGGATGCTAGTCCTGGGGCAGCCCGCTCCTTCCTGTTTATACCGGCAGAAAGCAGTGTTGGAGCAAGGCATGACTCCTGAAGAGAACTTAGGGCAGGAGAAAACATAGATGCGCTGGAGAAGGTGGGCCGGGTGACTGGGTTGGGTAGGTCGCCCTGTGCACGTGCGTAAAGGGAACGGTGGAGGTGTAATTTGGTGGCAGAATGCTTGCTTAGCATTCTTTTCTTTGGTTGGCTTCGTTTTTGGTTTTGGAGACAGGGTTTCTCTGTGTAGACCAGGCTGGCCGGAACTCATATAGATCTGCCCGCCTTTGGCTCCCTGTGTGCTGGGATTACAGGTGTGTGGCCCCGCACCCAGCTTTTGCTTAGCGTCGTTAGTGTGGGGTCCTGGATATGATCCCCAGAACCACCAAGGAAAAAAAAAATTAAAACATAGGCTAAGAGAAAGTTGAAAGCTACATGAGGTATGAAGGGCTTATTTTGTTTATCTGTTTACTGTTGGGGCAGAATCTCACGGAAAGGGTGGCTGGGCTGAAATCCTCTGTGTAGCCCTGACTAGTCTCAAACTCAGAGTCCATCTGTCTCTCCCCCAAGTACTAGGATTAAAGGTGTGTATTACCACACCCCAGCAGCTGAGCTTATTTTAAATATAATCTCACAGTAAACATTTCCTTTTTGTTAAGAGAAAAAAACTTTAGCTCATTCATGTCATTGATACAATGTTTGTCGTATGTTGTTTGGGAGTAAGTATAAAGAGCCTGTGTATATGAAAGCAAATCCAATTAACTGGTCATGGAGGCTCAGACCTGTAATCCCAGCACTTGAAGTGGCAGGATGCAAGGTGAGCCTCGGCTGTGTAGCAGTTACTCTGTCTCACCCCTCCCCAGTGAAACAAGAAGTATAATAAATATTTTATTCCGAATTTGCTGTGATAGGAATGAATGTGTGATCTAGGCTATAGCTCAGTTGCTAGAGTGCTTGCTTAGCATGAACAAAGCCTCAGGAGGGTTCCATGCCCTACACTCCCTAATCCCGGCACGGCTGTGCATGCCTGTGACCCCAGTTCTCCTTTATGCTTGGTTATATAGCTAAGCCAATCAGGGATACAGGGCACCCTGTTAGCCTGTTTTGTTTACATCACTGTGGAATTATTTGAAAAGATTATTTTTATGCTAATTTAAAACTTGTTTCCTGGATTGTGGCTTCTTAAGAAATGATGCTTATTATGGAATTTAAAATATTTGAAAAGCAGAAAGACAAATTTATCACTTTCAAATTTACCACATATTTATCCCTTTCAACATACGGCTCCCTCCTCACCATCCTAACCCTTTTTTAAAAAAAGTGATCGTTATTCAAGTAAATAGCAAATGGTATTATTAATGGTGTTTTGTTGTTTCTCAACTTTACCTTCTTTCAGTCCAGTGACAACTTTCTTCTTGCCACCTATCGGTGCCAGGCAAATACCACCAGGCTGGAGCTTAAGGTAAAGTGGTTAGACATCTCCTTCCTTCCTTCCTTCCTTCCTTTCTCTTTCTTTTCTTTCTTTCTTTCTTTCTTTCTTTCTTTCTTTCTTTCTTTCTCTCTCTCTCTCTCTCTTTCTTTCTTTCCTTTCTTCATGCTCAAGAACGAGTTTTACAAGTTTTGGGTTTTAAGTGGGGTGTGTGTGTTTGTGTGTGTGTGTTTGTGTACATGTGAATGCAGTGCTTATGGAGGCTGGAAGCGATCATAGATGTTCTGCAGCGCTCAGAGGCACCTAATGCGGGTGCTGGCTCTGAACCCAGGACCTTAGGGAGAGCAGTGCTCACTCATTACCACCAGCGCCTCTTCAGCCTCACGACCTGAATGCTTGAACTTGCTTTTCCTTCGGTGTGTCTTAGCCGTGATGTCATTCCTCTGCACTGAAATTCCCTGAAATGAATTATTTTGAAGTAACGCCTCCCAACGACCAGTGGGGTTTCTGCTCATCCCACCACTGCACCTGCTGGCAGTGCTCAGTCGCCAACCTCTAGCTATTGCTCTTGACGCTCCTCCAACAGAAATTTTTCTCTTCTAGTTTTCTTTCCTTTTGGCAGGGAGAGAGGTGGTGGGGATAAGATTTGGTCTTGCTTTGTAGGCCAGGCTGAATTTGAACTTTGGCAATTAGTCTCCCAAGTGCTGGGATTACAAATGTGTGGCACCAGGCCTGGCTTTGCTGATTTTCTATTACAGAAATTCCAGACATGTAAAAATTGATGATCAACCCATAGAAACCTTGTTTTATGGCACTTGCTACCTAAAATCCTTCTGAAGCAAATACAACATATTTGTTTTATTTGTAAATATTTTAGCATGTTTAAAAGATGAGTGCTCTTGGTTTTCTTATTTGTTTTATTTTTTTCGAGACAGGATTTCTTTGTGTAGCCTTGGCTGTCCTGGAACTCACTCTGTAGACCAGGCTGGCCTCGAACTCAACAGAAATCCACCTGCCTCTGCCTCCCTAGTGCTGGGATTAAAGGTGTGTGCCACCACTGCCTGGCTAGATGAGTGCTCTTTATAAAAAGTAAAACTATAATACTATTTTCAATCAAAATTTGACAATAATTATTATTACAAATATAATGTTTCAATTCTTTGGATTTGTTTTTACATATTTGTCCATTCATGCTGTAAATATAACAAACTTATGGAAATTGTTTAGTCATTTTATTTTCCTACTGTTTAGATTTTGCTGATTGAACTTTAGTCATTTAATTATTATATTTATCCAGGCATAGTGAGACCCACCTTTAATCCTAGTGCTTGGTAGGCAGAAGCAGGAGGGTCTCTGTGAGATCTGTGCTGCAGAGTGAGTTCCAGAATAGTCAGGGCCACATAAAAGAGAACCTGTATAGAAAAAACAAAACAACAAAAATAAACAAACAAAAACGACAACTACCTTTTATCCTGAAGAAAACTTTAAATATTTTGTTTTGTTTTGGCCTTTGTTTTGTAGTGCTGGGACTAGAACCCAGGGAATTGTGCATGGTAGGCAGCTACTTCACCTCCTAACTATATTTCCAGCCATTTAAATTGTCATTCCAGCCATTAAATTGAGTAATATAATAGTTATAATAATTTTAACAATTAAATATTGAGGATAGCACACACTTGATTATTTTTTATAGTGTGAGAATTACTTTTTTTAAATTTTTGTCACACTACCTATGATTTGAATCAAGGTCTATAAAATCCTTTCCCTGGTATTTCTGAAATGTTGTAGTAATAAAAAAATGAGTATTGGGCTATATAATGTTTATTATTAACCCTAAGATTATAACAGCGGTATTATTTAACCCGCTATCACAAATAATAAGACACAGACAGTTGTTAGAGTTTATAATTGCATTATTTACCTTGGGCCAGGCAGATATTTCACCTATACTGTCTCAATAACCTCACCATCCATCTCCCAGCCCCCATCCAGTGCCATCCACCTTAATCCTCCTCATCTGGTCTGCCTTCCATACATAATCCCATGGCACTTGCTTGTATTCTTCATCTGGGCCTTATTGGAGTCCTTCCTCCCAGCCCCGTGGTTTCTTCTCCATGCTAACCCATCGTGGCATCATCCTTCCTTGTCTCTTCCTGTCCCTTTGTCTTGTCCTTAGTTGCCCAGGAACCTTAGCCACACCTACCCTATTTTACCCTGCCCAGGCTGTTTAATCAGCCAATCAGATCTAATGAGTTAGGCACACAACAAGGATAGGTTTAACCAGATCTTGAGGATTAGCATCAGAATGACCCCCAACACTGCAGTTTTGAAGCTCAGAGTGGTTTGACAAAAGACGCTGTGCACAGTACTTATCCCTTGATTCCCTGGAATTTCTTTTCCCTCCAAACATTTCCTTTTGGTCTGCATAAGTATCCATTTAGAAATTCTGAAGGAAAAAGTGAAAAAATAGACTGTTATTTCTGGAAGAGTATATTTAGACCTATTTTGTAAGTGTCCCAAATAAACAGTAACATATATCACCAAAAAAGATTATGTCAGTACTTTGAAAAGCAGTCTTCCTCTTAAAAAGTTGAACATAATAATATTAAATTCAAAAGGAAAAAACAATTCCTGAAAATAGCCCCAGGAAAATTATGAAAAAGAAAAAAAAAAGAAGCCAGGTGAGTTTAAGGCCAGCTTGGTTTACAGAGTGATATCCTGGCTCAAATAATGGGGAGGGAGAAGGAGAAATAAATGTAGAGAAGGAAGAAGGAGAAGAAAGGAAAAGAGGAAGACAGGACTTTGCCATTCCCTATAGTAAAAGATATACGAGCATGGTGTAAATAATGGATGCATTTCTATAATAAATAATGTGGCACAACAGAATCGTTTCTAAGAGTACAGCTCATTTCAAACTTTCATTGATTAATTTCTTAATTTTTTGATTTAACATGTTAAAATTGATGTTGGCACAACTGTTTCCATCTAGAAAACAATTAAATGGATTTTTTTTTTTTTTTTAATACTGGGGATGGAATCCAGGGCCGAGTACATGCATAGGAAGTGCTCTCCAGCCCATGTTCCTGTTTTTGCTTAGAGACCAGGTTGACCAAGCCAGCCTTGAGTGTACTCTAAACTGTAGGCTGGCTTGTAACTTGAGCTCTTTCTGCCTAGGCTTTGCTTTCTGAATAATGGGATTACAGGTCTGAGCCACTGGGTCTGACCTAGTATACATTTATTCTGTGCCATATATAGTAAATAAATATCTAGCTAGTTATTAAAAAATAAGAAAATTGTCTTCCAGATAATAGATATTAATAAGATATGAAGACAATCTCTGAATTGTTATGAAGACCACTGAATAAGGGGTATATAGACCACACATAGAAGAAGGAATCAAAATAACTAACAAAAAATTCTGCCTCATTAAGGAATTTTAAGGAGAAATTTCTATTTATCTAACAGTCTGTCAAAAATATAAGGAACAGTATCAGTGGGTAACAAGAATGAATCGAGGGACTAGAATCAGTGGGAAAATAATTGTTGCAGCCATTTTGGAAAACAGGCAATGGGGACATTAGGAGTATCTATGTAACAACAATAAAGACACAGTAGTGTATACTCAGAGATGTATATAGTGAATTGAAGCAGTGTTTGTGGAGGGATTAAGGTAGAACCAGAGAGGGCACCAGAGGGAGCACTCATGTGGTATTGCAGTGGATGTCAGCAGCTGTTATATTGGATTAGTTGATCTGTCTCTGCTGGTTAGTACAACCAGGTATCTGAGAGAAGCAATTCAAAGAGGAAGGGTGTGTTCTGCCTGACAGTTTCAGGGGGTTCCTTGTGGAGGAAGGCATGTCGTGGTAGAGTACAGCAGCTTTCCTCACTGGCCAGGAAGCACAGTGACCAACAGAGAACTGCCTCAGAGACAGCTTTCCCCCAGCACACACCTAGTGTGGTGCCTTCTGTCCTGAGGCAACACCTGCAGAAGTTTGCTCCACTTGCCAGCAATGCTGTCAGATTAGGACTCCATCCAGGGATCAACTCTGTTGGTTAGTCAGGGTCCATTCTGTCTTCGTTAGGGTTTTATTGCCGTGAAGAGACACCATGACAACAACTCTTAAAGGAAAACATTAACTGGGCCTGGCTTACAATTTCAGAGCTTTAGTCCATTGCACGGCAGCACACAGGCAGACGTGGTAGTGAAGGAGCTGAGAGTTCTACAGCTTGATCCTCAGGCTTGAGAAGGGCACTGTGTGCTGTACTGGGTGTAGCCTGAGCATAGGAGACATCAAAGCCTGCCTCCCACAGTGACACACTGCTTCAACAAGGCCACACCTTCGAATAGCACCACTCCTTACGGGCCAAGCATCAAAACACCTGAATGTGGGGACCAATCCTATTCAAACTACCGCAGTCACTTCTTGAAAGGCCCCCCTGCAAGAGCCTTTAAAACGGGACATTTCTTCAAATTACTGAAGTGGCGTTTGGCATGGAGGAGATTGAAGCAAAACATAAAATTCACACACACACACACACATCCACATATTTGTACAATGATAGGGAGAAAGGGAAGGGAAGAACTATGCCCGGGTTCTACCAGAGAGTGTACAATGAGGGAGACCCATAAGTGGATCAAGAAAGGGAACAAGATAATCGCAATAGGAGGAGCAGTGATAAAGGAGAAAGTGGAATATTAGAAATGAAGCAAAGATGTCTAGCATAGCTGGAACTCATCCAAACAGAGTTCATGGTGTTTCACTTTGTACGTGAATACAGCCATACAAATGAACAGTGATCAGGATGACTGGGTAGTTGAATTTTAAGGGACTTGCACCTTTGTACTAGCGTTTCCATGCTGTATTAATTTGTAAATAATGAATGTGAATTGCTCTATTCATTATTAAAATAATTTTATAAGAATCTTGCATTTATTTTAAAGCTTTTTTATTATAGAAGATTTCTGCTTCCAATGCCAGCTTACCTTTTAAAAATAAACCCCAGGTGGAGATTTTTTTATATCTATTTTTCTTTCTATATTCATTTTGTTTTGTTTTGTATTTTGAGACGGCTCTCTCTACATAACCCTGGCTATCCTGTAACTCACTATATAGTGCTGGCTGGCCTTGAACTCACAGAGATCTGCCTGCCTTTGCTTCCCAGGTGCTGGGATCAAAGGCAGGTGCCTGGCTCTTTCTGTATTCTTATTCAGTATCTTTGTTAATAGTTTACCATTCTCCTTTCCACATTTGCAAAGAATTTTGCTATAAACATTGATTTATATTTAACATGTAGGTAAAAAAAAATCTTCATCTACTAGAAAGGTGTGAACTAAAGATCTCAGTTATAGAAGTTACTTTTGTATGAGAGCAAGCCGGAGCTCAGGTGAAAGAGGCTGTGCCCCTCAAGCATTATTCTGAAATTAAACATGTGAAAGTTAGTAAGTCCTTGGTGTTTTCAACCCTCTCCAGATTCAACCAGCCATATTCAAAATGTCCTGGAAGAATATTCCAGTCCAGGTGTATTTGGTTTATAATATGCTTTTCTAATTTACTTCCTGGAAAACATTTATTTCTGTGAACAGATTTGTAACAATACCACTGTATAATCCCCAATTCTGAGAAAGACGAAGTATTCTAATTTAGTTTTAGTTATTTCAAGATATTTTTTTTCATTTGTGTGTGTGTGTGTGTGTGTGTGTGTGTGTGTGTGTGTGTGTGTGT